AGCTTTTCTCCGTTCTGTTTACTGCTTGCTGAAACTTTCCCTATGCTTTCTGCACCTCTAATATGATCTTCTGTTCCTTTATCCTGGAGGCCTGTCTGCTTTGTTTGTGGCAGCAGTCAGTCTTATGCTGTGTTTGTTTGCCTCTAGGACTCAAGGTGAATCGCTTGGACATGTATGGGGAGAAGTACAAGCCCTTCAAGGGGATAAAATACATGACTAAGGCTGGCAAGTTCCAAGTTCGAACCTAGAAGATCCTGATAGTGAGGAAGAGCACTTTCTTGTTTCTGCTGTCCCTGGCTGTTGAATGCAGCCTTGTACCCCATCCATCTGTTTAGGGTTGCTCCGTTGCCTGTGGTAGCATGAGCAGGAGAGCCAGTGCTTAGGGTGCTGGGGAGCAGGGAAAAGTAAGGTTGACCTGAAACCATCTCGTCCCTAGCTGAGTCTGAAGTATTGAGAACAATGTCAGATGGGAGAGGTGTTCAGGTCCCTTGGGATTAGTGAGTCATATATGTAAGCTTCTATCACCTTCATTTTGCTGTCTTAAAGGAAATTCTAGGGATTTATGGTCTTTTGTGACTCATCTTCCTTATATTTTGGTTGGCTTTTATCCCTTTGTAGATGGTACAAAGTTGAATTTCCACAAACTTCAACTCCAGTGTGATTGTCTGACATCTGCCCTTCTCCATGACTGGGTGTTAGGGTGGAGAGCTGTATAGTCCTTGGCAGCAGAAAGATCATCTAGCCATTCTGCCTCCAAACAACTGGAAAAGGTGGAAAAGTAGATTGTCCCACCCAGGATGGGAATTTAAGAAGCCTGAGATTGGGGATGGTTCCACAGAGGGAGGAAGGAAAGAAGTGAGTGCTTTTTCTGGATATTTCATGAGCCATCTGGATCATCAAGTATCTTGAATCTCTGGAGATAGACTGGAAACCCATCCAATTCTTACTATGGTATCCTACGAAGGGCTGACTGTAACACACGTGATCTTGTAACTCATAGGTAGTGGTATCTGAATGTAGTTCTGCTTCCCTTCCTACTTTGTCAGTATTTGAAGGTAGGGTTTCTCCTAGCATTTTTGGGCAGTCAGGGAAGAGACAGAGGCAGGAGAATTTTTGTCGAGATGTAGCACGCCGATGGAAACGGAAGCTATGGCTCGATGAAGACGATCACTATCCTAGTAACTTTTTGCAACCTGTTTTTGTCTCTGCCTGGCTATTACAAATGAAGGTGATACTGCTGTTCTCCTGCTCGCTGATGTCTTTGAGATAATTGCGTCCCGGTCCCTTTCGTAGTGTTTCTGGCTATCCTACCTCATTCCAGTTCCTGTACCAATCAGCTGTCGTGCAGATGGATTCAAGTCAGCGCTGGATTTTTCACTGGGACCATCTCTTCTGCCGGAGCTGTTGCTGCATCTGCCCATTCCAGTCTGTGCTGCATCTCCCTGTACAGCATATATATGAAATGAGAGGCACCTGCACTGTTCTGTATTGTCTGTAATGTGCTCTTTGGCCACTAGATGCCAATGTGTTTTCTCCGTGGTAGCAGAACTTGTCCCTAAGTGCTGTACATGTGACTACATCTGTCAGGTGACTGTGGAGTCCAGCATGTACAGTTCATGCTTGTGAACAGAACAGGGTGACCCTAAAGGAAGGATAAGATGTTCTGGTTTGCATATGATGGATACTTGCAGTGGTTGAGTGGCATCTTGCTTGTAGAATGGCAAGTTTCAGTGCAACTGCTGCTGAGCATGTTCAGTGCAAATATAACCTTCAGCAAGGGCATCAATAAAATTCATTTTTACATGTCATCTGTGTCAATTCAGAGTGGTTTGTGTGGGCTTTACAAGAAATGCAGTTGGTATTTGAGGAGGAAGGTAAATTATGCCAATTGGACTATTGACAGTGGGTGCCTTAGGGAGATAAATGTCTTTATGCAATTGGGATTGTAAGCCTGGGACTAAATCACTGTCTGAAAAGCTAAAATTAATTATTTTCTTGGTAATTTTTCTTAGTGTTTGCCAAAAGGAGTGCTGAGCTCTTCCTGGAACCTCAGTGAAACTGTCTTTAGGAATGCAGCTGAACCATTTTTGTTTACTAGGTAGGGTTTTGGGTAGCAGGCTAAGGGCTGTGAAGTGCATGAAGACAATGAAATACCTCTTCACCTTCCTGCTCCTCAAGTACTGATATTGTCCTTTGGCTTTGTAGC